TAACAACTGTTCTTTGGTCCCTTGAAGTAATAACTGTTATAAAGAAAAATGGCACAGCAACATTTTTTTAATTTCATGCATTAATTACTAAAATAAATGATACATAATTAAAAGAAACCAAGCTAGGTTTGTATTTGCATTGATCCTTATGCTGAAAACAATGTACTCAGACTTGGTTCATCACAGAGATCATTTCTCAGTTTAACCTCTTTCCCAGTGGGAGAGTCCAGTGGTTTGATGAGTATGATTAGAGATGCAGGAATGGTTCCATTTAGATCAGTGGGACATCTCAAGTTGATGTATAACTAAGCACATACAGAAATGTTTGCGGAAAAAGACCTTGCATCTGAAATGTTTTGTTGTGCTCAGTCAGTACTGGGGAAGAATGCGAGGGACTGTTACTTACTTTTCCAGACAGGAGGACAGAGTTTTGTTGTCTCCTCTCCGCTGTACTTTGTGGTGAGATCTTAAAGTCAGAAGAGACCACCATGGTCCACACCAGGTACAGAACATCACCTGTTAGTAATGACACATCATTAAAACCAAAAGAAGCCGATCTAGATTTTAATTTTCGCTAACATTCACACTGAAAATATTTGGTCAGTTTTACTTTATCACAGAGTCTGATTTCAACAACCAAAACATACCTTTTGTAAAGTTAGCCTATGTTTTACTGAAGACTGCAGCAGTAGAAAACTTCCCCCCTCACCTATTAATACTCTCCTAAAGTTGCATTGTCGTCATTGCTGTGAAGAGGTCATTTTATCAGCTTCAAAAGGTACAACTTCCAACTGCTGCATATAGTGGCTATGACACTAGTTACACATGTTCACAGGGCCTGTGCTACCTCTCTTACTCACAGCTCAACAGTGGGAGTCTCTAGGGTATTTCAAGAGCTTCTTCACATGGTGAAGAGAGTTGCAGCACAGCATGTTCCCCAGTGATTGTCTGAAAAAAGGAGGAGCAGGTATGGCTAGCTTTCTGCCTGTAGCATCTCCTGGTGCTTGAGGGAAACTGAAAAGCAGAAGCCGGTATTGATGCAGTGGTGGCAGTGCTCCGAGGTAGGGCCAGTGCTTTCCTTTCAGTTTGCAAACCAACAGCGTTGTTGATCTGATGAGTAAGTGTTACCCCGTGGCACTTGCTTCATAAATATTCAATAGTTGTTAATTACAAGAAAAAAATGGAGCTGCTGGCTTGGGGGTGGGTGCCGAGACATCACTAAACCGGTGCTTTTTCCCATGAAGGCAGTAAAGCGGAGTAAGTGCCTTTCTCTGGCTGAGTGCATGAAAAAAAGCAAAGAGGTTTTTCAGAGTCATTCAAGGTAGGTCCTGTTTTTCATAAAATGTTTAATTTAACAGTGACCTAGTTTTACAACAGCTTTCAGTGTCTTGGCTTTTCTTATCTCCCGTGTCTTAGCCTACATCATTAGAACAACAGAGCAATAGGCTTTACAGACTTTGTTAAAGCAAACTAAATAAGAACTTAGCTGGTGGATTAATTTTTCTCTCCTGATTTGTTCCAGGCAGTCATTATGACACAGTTTCTTTGTAGTTTTAAAGAGATTTAAGGCACATCTTTTATGGCACATACTGTAGATTTTTTGAAAAATGTCAGCTCGAAGCCCTTTGCTTACTTCATGGTACATTTCTGAGTATCAGGATGTAGCAGCAGTCTTGAATTCCTCAGCCTTTTTACAGAAGGATCCTTTGTTTTGTAAACATTCAATTAACTGTGTGGAATTGGTGGCTAGATTGACTAGCAAATTTGGAAGTTTACAAGGAGTACAGACTCACACTAGCATTCAGCACAAGCAAGTTATGGAATGTCGTTAATTTTGCTTGCCTTATTTCACCTACCAGAAGGAAAAATTCTTCTGCATCTTGTCATTGTGACGAATAACTGGCAGGTCAAGTGATGTTTGCCCTCTCCTTTGCTGTACGCTACATACAGTACTCTCAACTACTGTTTCATGGTAGCCCTCTGATTCCTAGCTTGTCTTTATGGAAGTATACTTTAAAAACTCCTAATACACTATTGTGTGTGCTATGCTCCATATGGATTCAGCAGAAAAAAAAAGGAGCAATTAGAAAAATGGTTGATTTCAACCATGCAGCCCCAAAACACAGTAGGTCTGCAGAAAGATGGCTCTTCCTGCAACCTCTGTCTCAGAGACGCTCAGGAAATTTTATCACTGGAGAGTCAAGTATGGGGAGCCTCGCTGTGCTGAGTCCTTCCTGCACACCCTTCTGTGGAGGGAAAGCCAGCACAGGAGATGCTGCTGCATCTGCCAGGCTTATATGAGTGTGAGTGCTTTCTCTAGAGGGAGAATTCTCCCATGGGGATCTCAGCTCACCAGAGGTTTCCATTGATCCACATTAACATGTTTTGCAGAAATTGAATGTGTCAGGCTGAAGAACACAGGTAATGTATACTGGCAGTTTCTGAGCCGTGATTTAAACAGCATCAAGACAAATGTATACTTCTACATCTTCAAGGATCATGAAAACTAAGAGAGCAAAGACAACTTAATAGGAACCATTCAGAGCCAGCATCTACTGGCCTTGTTGAGCTTCACTGAACTCCTCCTTTTGTGCAAAGGGATTTCAGCTGTCTTTGCAAACAAGAAATTTGTGTCAGCTCTAATGCTTCTTAAATTTTGCGTGACTTCTGACAAACTTCTCAGCGACTTGTTATCCTCAGAAAAGAAAACACAGTGATGAATTTCAGGCATGGAGGAACTTGTGCCTCGAATCTAAGGAAATCACAAACCCAAAAGTATTGAGAATAATTTTTCTGTATAAAGCTAAAAATATCAGAACAGCATTAGTAACAGCCCCTCTGTTCAATTTTACCAACAAAGAGCACTGTGGGAAAGCAAAATTCACAGTCTTTGCAAATACACCTGGGGCAGTCTAGAAGACCTTGTTTGCTGAAAGTATTAAACAGAGGTTTGTGTGAGAAGCTTTGCCTCATATTGTCTTACCTGGAGTCCCAAAATGGACCAAGAGCAATACAGCTAATCAGGAGGGGAAGGATTCCGTTTCCTCAGTATTCTGGTTCTTGCTCAAGCATAGCAGCTGCATCCTTTTCTCTCCTGCCTTGGAAATCTCATATCTGAACAAATCAGAGCACTGACTGAATGAGGAGATTAGCACAGTCTCATTCTTTCCAGTGTTAAAGGCTGGTCTTTAGAGGGGATTTTAGCTTTTTCTCTAACAGCTAGGAATCTGCTAAGATCTCTCCACCTGTTCTTTCAGTTCATCAGGAGATCGGTTCCTTAACATCTAACAATGTTTCTTCTTTTCTGTCCTTTAGTCAAGAACAGCCTTCTGCCTAGATTCCATACATCTGATCTGAACTTGTAGATTTTTCCCAGACCAAGTAGAGCCTCCACTTCTGCCATGTTGAGTGCCTAAATATTATGAACGCTCGCAGCACTGAGTGGCAGAAGTGTGTGAATTCCCATAGAATTAATTCTTTCTCCAGTCGGTCTTTACCTGCTGGACTGGAAAAGGTGCACAAGGAATACTTTCTTTGAATAAATCACAACATCCTTGGCTGTTTTCTTCTGCAATACTGCAAAAGTTTCCTTTGGGCTTTTTTCTGTTTGAAATAGGTTTTATGATGATTAATTACATAAGCTGTGATGGGAGCTGCTGCGCAGTGGGAATGAGGAGCCTGAAGTGTGGAGGAAGGCATGAAACGTGTTTAAAAAAACCCTTTCAACTAGCAAGATACAGTATGTGCCTTTCATAGCCCTCATCATGCTGTCTGTATGCTATATCCCCCTCTCACTACTATTTATCTGTGTCTTATTAAACTGTGCCTTTGTCACAGCAGAAACTATATCATCTCCTGCTTTTGAAAAAGTATTTAACATATGGAAGAAACTGCAAACATCACCATAAAACATGTTTCTTTTCTGTACTTGGATGATTTATAGTACCCACCAACACAGTTCAAGTATCGAAACGCATGTCTGTGTCTTTGTGTATCTATATATATTCACTTTGTGTACACACACATTTTTATGTATAAAATCTTTTCTCTAATAGTTACAAAAAATTTGCAGGGTGTTGATAATTTATCTAAATCACATGGTGCCATTCCTCCCTCTTTGGCTAATTTATGTAGCTAAACATCACAGTGCATTTTCTGGTTTTGGCAGGGGAGTTTAACATTTGACATTTGCTTTTGGTGAATATTCAGTTACTTAATTTTGGTTTTTGTTTTTTTCTACAAGCAGCAGTAAAGCCTGAGCAGTCAAACGTTTCTACATTTTCAATAAGAAGAGTCCTTAAAACTCACTTTCAAATTTAAGTAACTATTAATGGATTACTTTTCAATTATTGTTCCAGCTTGTCTGCTGCTGAGAAAGTACTGCACATGGAGGAGATCTGGCTGAGTGGGGGTCAGCTGTGCAGCAATCACTAAAATGAGTGGGAAGTGGGAGGCAGAAGGACTCAAAAAACAGTTATTAGCCTAGGAAACCTGATTTTTCTAGGCTCTCACTAAAGATGGTGGGTAGAGACAGCTGGAGATTCAAAGCTGGAGCATAACCTCAGATGCTCAGAGCTGTGCCAGAAGGAATCTTTCTTTCTCTGACCTAGTGCAAGAAGACCATAAGAAGGTTTGCCTCACTGGACTGCAGTCAACCTTCTCCAGCTTTGTGAATCCCCCTTGCCTACAATGCCAGGAATCCAGATGCCAGTTTTCCAAATCTCAGCAGAGTGAAATGTGAGATGGGTCCCAGGGCTCAGTTTTGGTCTTGTCTTCCACCTCTCCAGCCAGAAGAACTCCACCAGCAGTCATCTCCTTGAAACACACTCCTTCCTTCAATACTCAGCCTGCTAAGCTATGACAATGAAGGGACTGATACAGCCCGATTCATTTACAACACATTTCAAACTGTTCTGCTCTCTTAAACTAGAATGTGAGAACAACACTCTTGTACAATGCATAATTCAAGATAACGCATAGGGCCTATTTTAAAAAGCATGGGTTTAATTTTTTTTTTCCCCTAATTATCCAAGAAACTGCTTCAAGTCTGCATCACCTTTAACAACTCCGCAAATCTTTTAAAGATATAATACACTTAATGTCAGGATCTCAAAGAGCATTATAAGTGCTAATGAAGCAGTGATCCCTCAAATTCACTTGCAGGTAAGTAACTATGACAGGTGTAGTTGAAATTCTGCCATTTTTCAACTGCTTGGGCTGAAACATTTAATTTTATGTATCAGCACAAGGCTGGCTTCTTAGTTTCTATCTTTTTTTTTTTTTTTTACTGTTTTGGCAAAATCAGTTTAACTGGCTCCAAGGAGATTTGGTGAAAAAAGGCTTCTGCCCATGTTAAATATATTCATATAACTGAATATGCCCATGTTTTGAGGCTATTGTTAAAAATGTATCTGGGAGATGGGCCTTGGTGACAAGGATATGCCATTCTGTGAAAATCTGCCCAAATTTTGACAAGTTACAAATTCTGAAATTTTCAACTTGTTCCTGCTTACATTCTTAGAGATTGAAGGCTAAATTCCCCAGAATCTGATTGCAGTGATGCATATTCAGAGTAGTATAGTTAATTTTAACTAAACATGTAAATTACTGGGGGGGGGGGGGGGGGGAGGAAGGAAGGGGGGTCTGCTTCTTGTTATCAAATTGTAGCACAGAAGACTGAAAATCACTGAGTCTGGCCCTCTGCTCAAGGTAGGCTCAGCTATGCCTAAACTAATCCTGACAAATTCTTAAAGACATTCAGTGCTAGAGATGCCATAGACGTTCCATGAAATTTATTCTAGTGTTTAGTGAAACACTATCTGTACAAAGTTTCACCCTAATATTGAAGATGAATCTCTCTTGTTAAAATTGGAACCCATGATTTCTTGTCCTCCATCACAGATGTAGAAAGCAGATTATCACTGTTCTCTTTGGAGCAGAATTTCATGGGTTTTAACACTTTTAGCCATTTTTCTGTATGGGATTAGACATCATCAATTTTCTTTCCTTACAGCTTGTTTTTTCAATGTCTCACCATTCTGACTGCCCTCTTCAGGACTATCTCCAGCGGCTCCACATTTTTCTTGTGTCCACACCTCTCTCGCTGCTGCCTTACCAGTGCCCAGCAGAGCACTCTGTGCCTGCGCACACAGCCCAGGGTGGCATTCCCTTTTTTTGCACCAGCCCAGCATTGTTGCCTCCTGTTCAATTTGCGGTCTAGGACGCCTGCTAAATATTTTCCCACAGAATTGCTGTGAGAACAGCTCTTTGCTGTCCTGTGTTTCTGCAGTTCCTCATTCCTGTCTAAATGTAGCTCTTACTCATATTGAATGCTACCCACATTTTTCAGATCATATCTGCAATTTATCAAGATCACTGAATTTTAATCCTGGCTTCTAACGTACTTGCGGTCCCTTGCTGCTTGAAATTATCTGCAAATTTAATAATGATTCTCCTTGTGTCATCATCCAGCTCATTAATGAATTTAATGAATACTACCAGACCTAGAACAATCCTCTGTGGAACTTCATGAAACTCATCCTTACATTTTGACAATGAAATATCCATAACTGCTGTTAGAGTATGGTCTGCTAATTCAACTCAACGTCATGTTTTCAGCACAAATGTTTACAAGTCCACAACTTACCTTCTACAAAATAGTTGTTTAAAACTCATTCTTTTTTTTTTTTTTCTTTTTGCCAGGAAATTATTTTATTAAGATATTAATGAGACTCAGACCTCAAAGGGGATTGAGCAGAGGTGAAGCAAATTTCATGTTTCATTCAAATACTTAATTGTGGGAAATATCTTGATGTGCACTTTTATTAGCATTCAGGAAAGGCAGTCACTCTTTAGATATTGCCTGTCTGTCACTGTCCTCCCTTCCAAAAGTTTCCCAGATTTTAGCTCAGCAGCTCATGTCAATAACGCACAGGAAAGCATAAATACTGAAACATGGAGAAAGGAAGTCCTTAATACTCAATTGGACCACCTCGCTTTGAGTAAAATGTTCGCATTTGCACTGACTTAGAGACCTTACGCTACAGTTTTCCTCCTTTGAACCCCATATTGTGCAAAGGAATAATACCCTCCGTGACAGTTAGAACATATTTAGAAAAGGCCCACAGATCAGCTCATGTGGCTGTGAGCTATAATCTACCCACACATGCTAAAAAAACAGAGCTCTTTTCACTCTGTTATAATCAGCTGGTCCTCCTCATCCTTTCAGAACATGAAGCAAAGTGTCTCTTCCTAGATCCGCAACTATTCAGTTTTTGGAATGATCAGGAAAACACAAAAGTAATTCCAGAGTCTCTCCCTCTCAGGTGGGCTAAATCTTCCTTTTTTCTGCATGTCTGATGTGTGGACTTTCCAAAAATGAATAGTTCTAAGTAAAATACCAAGAATCAAAAGTGTACCAACCACCTTTGAAGATCTAGCCTAGCTGGGAGCTCAAACATCACCTTGAAATGACAGCCAAGCTTCTGTTCTTTATTAGATCTCATGTTTTTGGTTTGCTTTGTAGCTCTGAAAGCTCTCAATGAAGAGGAAACTTCTACTGTTCTGTCCACATCTTCAAGGAGCTGCCTGTTCACCCAGTGCCACCCTTGTATATGTAGCCTCCAACAACCAGTCCAGCCCACCAGTCCGCTGGGGTGAGGAGCACAAGGTCAGTATACAACTGATCTAACAGGTACCTCCTATCAAAATGCTCTCTCTTCACCCAGGTCCTGGCCACACATTCCCCACACTTCCATAAGATCAATCCGGTGGCCACAGGACAGGTTGATTTGGCTGGCAGATCTAATGGAAAACAAAGGCAACAAATGAAGCCTACTCTGCAGCTGGAACTGGGGAGCAAGACTGCCTGTTTCAAAGGCTATTAGTTTTTAAGTTAATTTTAGATGCAACAGAAAGCGTTACTTCCACCTGCTCTCTGCAATTTATCTCCTTCCCACCCTCTAGCCTCCATGCATAAGCCCCTGTTCGCATGTTTTTTGTTATCTGTTTTTAATTATTTTCAGCATCTTTCATTTTTAATCTATGATTTAAAATCCTATGCTCCATTGCAAAACCCAGCCACAGCTCTTCCCTAACTGCATCTTTTTAAAAACAGATGCACTTTTTTGGTCTTTGCTAGACCAGTGTGTATGTTAATCTTCCAGTCAATTTCACAGTAATTTAGATTATCAAAATTAATTCCAAACAAAGCTAAAAATACTCTGCTTATTCTCCAGCTCAGCCTTGAAGAACCATGTTATCTGATGGGGATGGTGCAAGGACACAGGCAGTAAGATTGCTCTCCTACACTAAGTGACTGATTCACCTTATGACCTCTGCCAGGCAAAAAGGTAGGTCCTCCTCCAAGACGGTGTCCCAGACTTCCTCTGTAGTCACCAAGGGGCAAGTAATTTGTTTTCGGTACAGGTTTGATGATGGGATATGTTGCCCTCTAGAGTTGTCACCCTCTCTTCTCTCCTTTGGGGAGAGCCAGGACAACCAGCTCAGACCAGCTGTTAAAGGGTGGGAGCTGGGGGAGAGGAAACTCAGCTAATGGATTTTAGTCAGAAGGCACCAGTTTCTGCAAAGCACTTTGAACTCTTGTGGAAGTTTTGGACAAACCATTAGCCTCCAGGATTGTTTCCTAAACCCGAGGAGAAACCAAGTGTAAAAAAAGTGGACTGAACCATGACACACTTAATTTTGCAGGGGGCTTAATGATTCTTTCTGACATTGAATGACCTAGCTTTTTATGTATTTTTAAAGCAAAAATGCAAAACTAGCCTATTATTGCAACATCCTTATAGATGGCATGTATGAGATCTGAGGAAATCCAAGGTTTCTAGCTTTGCAGCCACAGTTGAAATGAGATCATGAGACCAGCAATTCAATGCATAACAGTTTTCATACACAGCAACGCAAACTACTACACTAGGAAAAAATAGGACCAGCTTCAAAGATGCTTTTTACACACAGCATTGGCTGCAGGAATAGCAGGCTTAGCCCATCAGTAATATTAAGCAATTTTTCTCTGTGACTGACCCTGCAGTGTCTGTTCGTAGAATCATAGAATATCTCAAGTTGGAAGGGATCCATAAGGATTGTCGAGTCCAGCTCCCTGCTCCTTGCAGGACTGCCTAAAACTGAACCATATGGTTAAGAGCATCGTCCAGACACTTCTTGAGCTCTGACAGGTTTGGTGCCATGACCACTGCCTGGAGGAGCCTGCTCCAGTGACTGACCACCCTCTCTCTTTGAAGAACCTTTTCCTGATGTCCAACCTGAACTTCCCCTGATGCAGCTTCATGCCATTGCCTCGTGTCCTGTTGCTGTTCACCAGAGAGAAGATCTCTACCTCCCCCTTCCTCTGCCCCTCTTAGGGAAGTTGTAGTCTGCCATGAGGTCACCCCTCAGCCTTCTCTTCTCCAAGCTGAACAAACCAAGTGATCTCAGCCCCTTCTCATAAGTCTTGCTCTTGAGATCTTTCACTATCTTGGTCACCCTACTCCAGACACACTCCAGTAGTTTGATGTCCTCCTTAGATTGAGGCACCCAAAAGCTCACACAGTACTCAAGGTGTCATTGCTGGCCACAACAGCTCAACTGTCAGGAAAAACTCCCAAAAAGGAAACTGACAACCATAAAGAAAAAGTGAGAGATGAAAATGCAAGTGAGTGAGACTAGTTAAACACCTGGTCTTTATATTCCTGACCCCTTGACTTGCTGCTTTAGACCATCCTATCAGGGTCATGATACAACCCACTGTAGGGAGACATCTTCCTAGTATTCACCCGATTGTTTCAAAGCTGTGGGGTTTTTTTCCACACTGGAGTGTTACAAAAACATTTCCTATGCAGGTATTCAAGTTTCAGCTGCTGCAGATTAAGAAGAAAACTTCGGCAAAATTTTAACAGGCTGCCCTATCTGGGAGTTTCACATAGCTGGAAATTATCTGGTTTTAATATATCAGCTAGACCCATCTTCACATTGAAAGCATTTTTGGTCCAAGCCAGATTAAGGTTCTGGGTAGCCTTAGACAGGGAAAAAAAAATCATGGAAGGGTAGAGAGGCCATGGGAATGTCCTATAGTCTTAAGATGCCCATTGTCTATCCCACAACTTTATTTACACAAAATATCCAGAGCCAGTGAAAAAGAATGGAGAGTAAAATCCTCTTTTCAGAAGCGTTGCGCTATCTGGTTGTTACCATACATGTAAATACTACCCTTTTACAAAAACCCCCCAGCACATTGCAGGTTTTACTCAGTCTCTTCTTCCTTCAATGTTTCTGCCTTAATTTTAACAGTACTACAGATTCTGAGAATATATATATGTAGGCTATCAGCACCTTGGGTTTGCCCAACCTCATCATTAAGAAGAAAATTGCAATGTCCCCTCTGTAAGAAGTACACTTCCCTACTTAAACCTGTGCTTTCACAGACCTGGGACACTGCATGTAGGCTGCTGTTTACTGCAATGAACAGTCTCTGGAAATAAAGACCACGAATAATTTTGTGTTCCAACAAGATTCCTATTTCTCATTCTCTCTTTATTTGGGAAGAAAATGCAATGCTGTTCACAACAATTTTTCCTTACCTTTTATTTTTGGAAAGCAGGTAGTTCTGTTCTTAATTAATTCTCTTAATTGAAACCCAGTCTGAAGGGCACCATTCATGAATTCATTCATTCATTCTTCATTCATTCTCTGCTGCCATGATATGCCTGCTCTCCTCAGATGTTACTCTGTCCATGTATGCCCTCCTCCACTACTCCCCACCACCAAGGGTCATCTCTGACCCTCCGTCCCTGTACAAAAGCATGGTCTCCCGTTTCTTTTTGCCTACACGGCATGTCAGAATTTCAGATGGAGCGTAGGAAGGTGGCCTGGCCCAGCCCTTCGCTTTCTGCTCATCACAGGCCATAATGAATGTGGAAAAGTTCAGGTAAAAGAGGATCCCTGAACACTTCTGTTGTTTTATCTCTATAAGCAGTGTCCCATTTTCCAGCCAGCTTGCATATTCTCATACTTGCTGTGACTGTGGCACCCATGTCCTATAAGATATTTCTTCCATAGTGTCAACATGGAATTATGCATTTCTCTGAAAAGAAATGGGGAGACTTGCATCAAGTTTACAGGAAAACTGCTAACTCTGCTCATGCTAGAGCAACAAAACAGCATGTGTCTCAAGTCTGGCACCAGAAACACTTACACATTCATTTTCTTTACTGTCCAGAAGTTATAACAGCATTCCTAAACACAGATTTGGGTCTAGCTTTGCAGAACTCATATTCTGAATTCAGAAGACATAGTTCATATATGAACTATGGTTCATAAATACAGAGTACATAAATACAGTTCATAAACACAGAATTCATAGCTCATATTCCCTCCACCAAATTATTACCTTCTTTCTGCAATGCTCAGCTGTACAGATCTTTGTTATTCCTGCTTTCATTGGTGCCATCATTTCTTCAGGACCCAATGAACATAAAATAATACTGCGATGCATCAGGGAAGGAAAAATGGAGTGTTAGAAGCTCTTGTTAAACATTTATATTATCAGACATAGACTGACCAGGACTAGGCACTGTTATGACAGGCATTTTTTAACAAAGATAAACAATCCTCGCTCCGCATTGCTTACAGCCCTCCGGCCCTCCCAGGCATACAAGCCCAAGTGTACCTGGCACAGCTGCCTTGTTTGCCCCAAGCAGGGAAGACAAATACATTAGGCGCTTACCCAGCTCTTTGGACAAATGTGGTAACTCAGTTCCTGAAGTCTTTGGTGGTCTGGCTACCCAGCTACAAACAGTACTGCGTGGGCATGTCCAGAACATACTCAGATAAATCTAAACCTCTTGTCTTTCCACAGTATAAACTAAACCCTTACAGCATATACCGCTTTTCAGGATATAAGCAAGTCAGTATATCCTCTCCTACCACCACCATTTCCTCTCCCCTTGCTTTTGACAGAAAAATATCTGGATTGTAATCTGAGATGACATGTTGTTACAAATCAGGGTTATAATGGAATTCAGCCGAAGAAAATCTCGAAAACTCTTTCCTGTAATAAAAACAGAGAAAGAAGGGGTAGCAAAATCCTCCCATGACTCTTTTCTCATCTTCTCCCCTCCTATATTCTGGAAACGTGCTTTTACCTGTCTATAAATGGGGATGGAGAGAGGACTCCAAGCCCCATGATGCAGGAGGGCTCTGTGAACTGTGGAGAATGTTATGTGCTGTAGCACAGAGTACCTGAAATGCTGTAGAATACAGACATGGAGTTTGGGCATTCAGTTTTAGTTCAGTTCAGAAATGCTTCTCCTCTGAGTCCCTTCTATGGCGGGGATGGAGAGCCTCAGCACATAGCCTCAGCTCTTATCAGCTACCAAAAAAAGAACTGCTGAGAGGTACTGATTTTGGAATGCTGTACAGGCTTTGGACTCTGAGGGGACAAACACTGGGATATCTCAAGTTGATAAAGTATTAGAGATGAAGATTCTTTCCTGGAGAGTGGCAGCCTCTCAGCCTCTTTGGAAAGATGAGTGTGACCACCGGAAGCATCCGCTAAGCTGATCCTCCTCTCCTGTCTGTCTGCAGAGAGCTGCTCACTGAAGCACATCCTAAAGCAACAAATTAGTGATTGGAAAACCCTCAAACCTCCTGTGTGTTGTCACAGCTAACTTGGAATCCAGACCTGAAGCCTCCCAAACTCTTGGCATCCTGTGAATAGCAAGAGAAGGGAAAATATTTCAGCAGTCCTCATGTCACCTAGCACGCTGTTTAAGAACACTTCCCAAGGCTTTCAAGGAGGATAGGTCCTGATACAGCCTTGCTTGTCACAGCATTATTTGTGGTCATGCTAAATTACCACAAGGAAAGTAATTTGGACTGTGTAAGTGACTGCTGGTCTTAAATTTCACAAACTTCCTGAAGAACATCTCATGGCAAGAATTTCCATTTGTTAGTTATGAAATCAATGACAGTACCCCTTCTCTCTTTTTTTTCCATTTGTGTCCTCCCTTTTCTTTCAGCACTTCCCTGTTACTGCACTTGGGAAGCTTGGACAGGACCCACATGTACTTTCTCTGTATTACTTAGCATTGTGCAAATGTAACTGTAACTCATCTTCTCAGTAAAATATGCAGGCTTCACCTTCTCCATCTGTTCTCATATGGAGATCTTGACATTTTCTAAATTATTTTATTACCTGTTTTGAGGCCATTCTACGTTTCATGGATTTTTTCTAGTGGGTAGCTAGAAGTGAGGGCTGCATCCTGGGAGAAAATGAGGGTTTTTTTTCCAGAGGCAGCTGTATTTGCTATTCTTTGCTC